CCTCTGAGGACGCCGGCAGGGGGCCAGCCACGGCGGGTCTGGGCTGTCCGCTGCCCGCGTGCTCCCCGGCTTTGCTCCCCATCTCCCTGGTCTGCTGGTTTCTAGCAGACCAGGGAGATGGGCAGCAAATTCTGTTTGTAACTGCGGATCCGACATAAGTCGGATCCGCGTAACTTGGGGACTGCCTGTATAGGTAAGTGGAATGGTGCTAATCTGCGGTTATAATACTTTGTTCATCTACTATATCAGCAACATCTCAGGGTTTCCTATCTGGTGCTGTAGTATGCATCAGGAGGGTGTGAATTTTAGACATGACAAGCTAGAGTGGACTATCTTATCCATGTTGCTAAAAGTTCCCTAGTGCTGGCTAATGAGGTTCTATTGGAAGCAGGCCTACATTAAAACCCAATAGAGAACTTTCTCTGCTTGTCAGGCAATGCACAAGCTTGTATAGACTAAAATATACATCCCTCTGGTCTAGGGATGTAAAATCATGTTCAACTGATGTGCTAACACTGTTTAACTGATTAAAGGGGAAGCGGACAAAGTGGGCCACTCAACCGGGGCTGGAGGCCTTCCTTTCCTCTCACTGGGGTTGGGCTACAGTGGCCTCTGCTGCAGGCAAGGGCTGCTCCAGCCCAGCTACTCTCGGCCTCCCCCCCACAAGCAGGGCTGCTCCACTAAGCATCCTTAAGAGTGATACTTACTGGGTAACGGGTTAATCCTTTGTATCCCTACTCTGGTGAGGACAAAAGTACCAGCTAGATAAGCCCTATGGTGAATGAAAGGTTTACTCTTGGCTACCAAACAGTTTGTTCCGTAACATGCAACCTAGTTCTTCCAGTTTTTCTTACCAGCGAGTACAGGTTCTGCCACAGTTTGCGACAAGGAACATAACTGAAAAAAAGTTATCCGGTTATACGTCACAGTTGAAAGAAATCTCCCTTTATCTCTGTCAATGACACGTCAGATTATAAAACCTGAACAAATAACTGTTCACTATTTATGCTCCTTTTCCCAGTTCATGCTCCCTGTCCCCACTTTCACATTTCTGAACACCTGTTCCTTTATCTCTGCTCGTTTCTTTATGCTGCCTCAGCTCCTTTGGATGCCTTCAATCCAGCAATGGTGGTTTTTTTTATCCCTCCTTTTCCACTCGTATCTTTATACCTTCTTCCATACTGCTTCCTCCTTTAATCATCTCCCTCCACACACACATCCTTCCCTGAGGTACAGTCTTCTATCAGCCCTTTCAATGGCAATCCCACAAGCAAAGGAGAAACCCTTAATTAGTCTGAATTTTCTATCAGGCTATGTAAATAGTCCTTACTCGGCAACTTAGATAGGACCAGGTTGTAGGCTCAAGCCCAAGTTCACCAAGTGCCATTGATGTTGCTGTCCCAGTGTAAATCCAAGTGTAGATGGGGAAGGCCACATCTTCAGAGGAGCTCAGTCCTGCTTGAAACCAGGGCAGGCCCACTGGCAGGCAGAAAGAGAGCAACTGCCCTCTAGCCCCGAGATTCAAAGGGGCATGAAGCTCCCGGATGCTGCTACTGTGACAGCGATGTTAGGCAGAATCCCAGACTCCTTTGAATTGCCACTGGAGCACCATTCCGCCCGGCTCTGAGGCTGAGGGCATAGGCACATGCTGCAGTCTGGGTGGCACTACGGGCTCATTACCCTCAGCCCCCTTCCATATGAGGCTCTGCCCCTTCTTCCCCCCTTCCTCCCCCACATATACACCTTGCCCTGGAGCCTGCGGTGACTGTCAGCCCCTCTAAATCGTGGTAAACACATAAGAAGGTAAGAATTGTCATACTGGGTCAGACCCAAGGTCCAGCTACTTCAGTATCTTGTCACTAACAGTGGCAAACACCAGTTGCTTCAAGGGAAACGAAGAGACTCCAGAGTAGGCAGAGAGAAGGTAATTTGCTACTCGGAATAGGTTTCATCCTGATCTCTAATAGATTGAGACTGGATTAAGCCTTGAAGCAGGGGATTTAATATTCCTTCCACAGAAAACTGTTCCAATTAGGGTAACTCTGGATATTCTTGATATCCATATAAGTGTTCAATCCTTTTTTGAATCTTGAGATCTTGGACTTATGTACCTTAACTGTGGAATTCATTGCCATAGTATCTTTTCTCACAGTGTGTAATTGATTTCCTTGTCTTAGTTTTGAATTTTGCACTTTTTAATCTTATCGAATGTCATCTTACATAAAGAGGATCAGTGTAAATCTGATTTTTCTTTGCTTGTTTGCAGTTTGTATGGTGCAATGGCTGGCCATCAATTGATTGTTGGATTTAGGGCTAGTTCCCAGAGAAGACAAGATTTCTGATGACATTTGAAAGGGTGGGTTTTTTGGGGGACTGTCTCAAGGCTGTTCCCCACTCTGGCACTCTGAGTGCAACAGGCGGGTCCCACAAGAGACCTTAAGTACCTTGCCTTTATAGGTTCTACTTACAAAAACTCCCCAAAGTCACAGATTTCCTGCCCTTGGCAGATAGGCTGCTACCATCAAATGTAAAAAAAACCTTCTGAAATCCAAGAAGCAGCACTTGAATTTCTTCCAGAGTAGTACCCCTTTTACCACAAGAGAGGCTGAGAAAAACAGAAAACAAACTGCAATCGCTGATAGCTGACCTCTTAGTCTTAAGCTTGCATACACAGACTCCCTGTTACTTTCCAGGACACACGAATCAAATCATCACCTTAAAAGAGATGATTTTATTAACAAAAACAAAAAGATATACTTGTTGAAGCATACTTGGTTGCTAGGTGTTACAGAGCTACAGGTGTTAGAGCAACTGAGAAACATAGTATCTCTGGGTACAGCTTAGATATAGTACATGTGAGGGGAGCACATGGATTTAGCACAAAGAGGCTTAACCAAACAACAAAAGAAAGATAAATACCCTGATCATGACTCTAAATATACATTTCTCTGTCTACTCACAATCCGTACTGATCCATACTTCCAGGTCCAGTCCATTCCTGTTACCTGTACAGATTTCCTTATTCCTTCCATGCTGACTCATGCCTTTACCCAATTCCTAGAGCTCAAGGTGCTACCCTGCTAATTTAAACACTCACCCTTACCCAGGGTGTAACTTTCTGTGGGTCTGCAGGATCTTTTGCCTCTGAAATAGCCTTACGCAATAACACTCTTATTCTCTATTTATTGATTATTACCAAGCAATCAAAATATACATGCTAAGCACACAGTGTCATGCTCCCCCATCCTGATCAAAGCAGTCCAACTTCTCATTGGCCAGGCAAGGTTAGTCTCTCTGGATCCTAGTTGCTACACGATGTGACCATACAGAGGAGTTCTGGCAGCTCTGGTCTTAGGCTGTGTTTTGGAGGTGAGTTCTTCTCCAGGTCTTTTCTCCTTCTTCTTGCTGTTCCTTTCTTCCTTTTCTCTTTCCCCACTGGTCTCCTTTTTGGACCCCAGTTTATATCGTGAAACTTGAGTTCTACTTAGCTATACTGTAATCAATTATTTTAGTTGAATTTTACTAACCAATCATAACCTACTGTAACAGAATTCCCTAACCAATCATACACCACCACCTTAGCTGATTTACACCTAGCAAAATTAATTATACAGCAGGCAGAAGCAATTAAAAACCAGACAGTGATTAAACAAACAATAGAAAAGTGAGGACCATAATCATAGAATGAGGATTTCACAACCTCAACTATCGATAAACAGTTTTGTGCCAAATGAATGCTGCTAAGCTAAGTTTTCTCTACCCATCTTGAGATCTGTTTCTTTATCTGGTGACAGTGGGTGCCATTAGGACAAGATCTCCTTAACAGCCTGGTGCGACACTATTTTAGGGCAATTTAGATGGAATGTGAATATGTGACTTCAAGCGTTACAGGTAATGGCTGCTGCTCTTCAATCTGGCTGCAGAGGAAGGCTTTTTAGGCCTTCCATTATGGTTACAGGTCTTCCAATAGGGCTACAGAAAAACCATGTTGTTATATTTCCATTCCCAGTATTCCTTGTAGGCATGGTAGTCCTGTCTGGATTAATTCATCTCATTTCCCCCA